TCCAAGTCATGCGATTCTTGAGTCCATCTTGATTAAATTTTCATTGTCTTTCCAGCAGTGCGCTCGGTGGCACCCGAGTCCATACTTTTAAAAAATTACCATTTTGCCCCTGGGGGCTTATTTGTCATATTTTTTTATCTTTTGCTCCCGCATCAGTTCTCATTGAGTCCCACGATCTCATGGAAGGTCACTTTGACTTCTTAGAGTCTTGTTTTCTGTTTTTGCTTTCGCATTTCGAATCCGTTATCGGATCTACGTTCGGTTCAGGATGCGCTGGCCTAAAAACCAAGGCCGTCACATGGTTTTGGACATGGAACCCTCAAGGGCTGACTTGGAGGTTGGCATCATCATCTTCATCCTTACATTGTTCCTAAAAACCTAGTTTTAGAGAGGAAAATTTTCTATTCTATAATTGGTAATCAAAAAACTATCTATCTAATGCAATGATTGTTCAATAAATCAATTACACCCCTTTGAGTAAGGACCAAGTCAGAATAATAGCCTGTGATTGGACGAAATTCGTAACTATGTAAGGTAAGTAGAAAACGGCACGTTGGGGAATTAGACAGCTCAATGCCAACAGCATTTTCGATCAATCGAAGATGTTCGACGATCAAACACTTGAGCTTCGATCGATCGAAGCTGACGTGGCACAAAAATATCTTCAGACTTTATCCAAATGGCTGAGCTGGCACCGCCTTAATTTCGATAGATTGAAAATCACTTCGATCGATCGAGACTCCCCTTCGATCGATCGAAGTTGCCCTGATGCATTTTTCTTGGCTTCTTTCCAACTTTGCTCCTTAGCTCCAAAAATGATCTTAATGGCTCTTGTTAGCCTGTTTGAACATTATTCACCTAAAATAGGCAATAACACAAATAAGTATATAAGACATGAAAATAAGATAGATGATTGGACTAGAATACCCTAACTTAGGTGCTAAAATGCGTCACATTTGAGCACTCATCACACCCCCAAATTTAGCTATTGCTAGTCCTTAGCAATGAACTAAAAAGAAAACAAAGGAATAAACAACTAAGTAACTATGGTGAGTAAAATGCCACTACCACTTCCAACTAAATATTTTTTTTTTCTTTCTTAAGTTTCAATAAAAAAAGATAATTTATTTATAATTTTTGTTGGGTCAAAATCTTTTTTCCCGAATGGGCATTTTATTTTTGAATCCTGTCAAAATGACCGAAAACACTAAAGATTGGAGAGAAGGGAGAGTGGGAGACTAACCATATTTGGAAGGGTTGTTGTATAATTTGAAAAAAAAAATTATTTAGGTGTAAAAGTTAAGGTTAGATGTATCATTTTATTTTAAACGGGAGTGCAGGTGTTGAAAAGTGGAGTACGAATATCGCAACCCTTCAAAATAATGCTTGGTGTTTATTCATGTCCAACTCAGTAATTTTAAAATTTTCATTTATTTGAAATTTAAAAGTTTGACTCTATATGACCCTAAAAAGTCTCCTAACTTCATATAATTGTGTGTGTGTGTGTGTATATATATATATAATTTTTCCTCTTTGCAAATCTCTTATATAGCCTCTTTAAATGTGTGTTTATATATAAGGTTAAGTGCAAAAAACACCCTCCTTATATACAAAAGGTGCAAAAAACACCCTATTATTTTTTTGTGTGCAAATAATCCCCTGTTGTATTTTTTGGTGCAAAATACCCCCTAATCAGTCATTTCACTAATTCATTTTAAAAAAAAATTCCAAAATACCCTCCTAATCTAGTGAACACCATTTCCAACCAAGCCTTCACCTTCGTCCCTGTAATTCATCCTTCTCTGAGAAATTCTTCTATGAAGTGAAATGAGGTAAAGAATGGGTGAGTTATGGCGGCAGCAAAAGTAAGGGCAGATTGGCGGAGAACAACTAATTGTTGCTTTGTCCAAGAAAATGCCAAAATAGCTCCTAAATTAGCATGCAACCCATCAGCATCTTCATCATGCAGGCAGGGAGATGCAGGACCTGCAAATGCAAAAGGTGGGAAAAATAATCCCACAGTAGGTTTCATGCCTCTTCACAGGAACCCTTCATATTCTAATTTATCCCGACTCGAGATGGTGGCTCCATCTGCAACCTAATTATGAATATCAAAGGGGTTTAACAAATGAAAAGTTAAATACCTTGTTATTGTCGACGCTTGAAGCAGTGGTGGCTTGGAATGCCGGCGGGCAATTGCCCGGTTAGCACAGTGACGGCGAAGGTGAAGGCTTGGTCATAAATGGTGTTCACTGGACTAGGAGGGCATTTTGAAATTTTTAAAAAAATGAATTAGTCAAAATGGCTTATTAGGGGGTAATTTGCACCCAACAACATAATAGGGGTTTATTTGCCCACACAAAAATAGTAGAGTGTTTTTTGCACTTTTTGTATATAAGGAGGGTGTTTTTTTCCACTTAACCCTTATATATATATTCTAGTACTACAGCTTGCAATATTCCTGATAATTTGGGATACTACAATGTGTCCCAGCAAAAGCCCTGATCCTATTTAAGCAAACAACTAATGACTCTGTTACATAACATATAAACCTCCTCTCTAATCGTATGTACCACAAAAAGAGTAACTGATCATGACTCTCTTTTTTCAGCCTTTGTCACTCATAACTCTTCTCAACACATTGACAGAATCATGTTCAAGGACAAAGATTTCATAATTTCTTTGTCCAATGTGGTTTTCAAGAACACCCAAGATGTCAATATTGGTGGATCCAAAATCAACAAGTGTGTTAAGTGTACGTGATAACAAGTCACAGAAAATTGATTAAATGTTACACACAGTCACATTCTTTTGCAGGGACAGATTCAGATGCATAAGTTAGAGGTCAATGTGAAATTTTTACTAATTTCAGGACGGGCAATAGCATAATTTTATAGATATGTGTGTGTGTGTATATATATATATATAAATCAAAATTCTAAAAATATTAGGACATAATACTAAAAAAACATTTCAAGTGTGAACTCTCTCTCTTGCACTGTATATATTTCGGCTGCCACATTTATAAGTGTCAAAGTGTACGTGACTGACAAGCCACAAATATTGACATTGTATCTTGTTGGTTTAAGTGGTAGGTTTTCTCTATAAATAGAGAAGAGCAGAAGAAGTGAGGTATTGGGGGAGTGAGATATTTGTGAGACCCTTTAGTCTTTTTGACAAAACACTAAACAGTGTTATTTACCGATAGATAGATAGGTAGATGGATGTATGATTTTTTAATTTACCAGGGAGTCACTATTTGTATATTCTTTTCATTTTCATTGTAAATATATTTTTGTTGTGTCTTTGATGATCTCCATCAATGTGGTGGAGGGAAGGAAGTTCCAGCCGTGAATGAAACAGAGCAGAGAATTCGTGGTGTTCGGCCCAATTGCTGACAGATTGCTTGTACTGGGTCAACTCCTTGTGCCTTAGGGTTTTTTGGTTGCTGCCTGGGCAGTTTTCTCTCTTGGGCCTATTCTCTTAGGCCCAAAAGCTTGTTTGTTCTGTAATTTCCAATCTTCTTAATAATATTTGATTTACCGTTTAAAAATTAAAAAATAAAATGTGAAAAGAGAATGTCAAGGTTCACAAATATTGTGTATATATTAACTCACTAAAACTGTGATTTTGATTATACATTAATAAATAATTTAGTTTTAAATCAATGAAGGGCTAAGTATATATTATTATTACATTAAATTCTAAGTTGCTATGCATATTGGGGTGTATAGGGTTTTAAATCAATGAAACCCTGATGGGCCTGGGCTTGGGATGGGTTAGCCTGTAACAAGCTCAGGCTGGGCCAAACCCCAATGAGTGAAATGAGTCTATGTCTCCTATTTTCTGCCAAAAAAATTTTGAAGATGTGAATCAGACAGAATTCATTTCAAGAACCACGAAAGAAGCCTGCAATTATCAAGATCACCCAATGTGCACCAAAGGTAATGTAGATGCCTTCATATATATATATATATATATATATATATATATATATATATATATATATATTCTCTTCTTTAATTGCCTTCAAATATATATATATGTATGTATGTATATGTATATAAATTCTCCTCTTTAATTGCCTTCCATATGTTTGTGATAACAAATGGGTGATATAGATCAAGAGGAACTAACTAAGGTCCTGTTATGAGGATAAGATGATGTTAAACAGAATGAGGAAAGTTCATAAATTGTCTTAATCCTTGAATTCTTAATACAGACAACTGACATGAATTTATTCCTTGTTGAAACCTCAAACACTTGTTGATCAAGTCCGTAACTATCCAAGCATGTCAACAACTACTTGCAGCAGTCTAGTTCCTCCCCATTATGTGTTTTCTCTATCATTTTTCAAGAATATACATATTTATCAAAGAATGGACAAAAAAAAAATAAAAAAAAAAATGATTTCATACAATCTCACTGCAAAATACCTCCTCATTACACATCTATTAAGTTTTATTTATCAAAATTAAATGTTTATGAAACATTTTTCCTTTAATTTGGAGACGGTGAGGCACACCTATAGTGGGGAGCTCTGTAAAACAAACTCTAAGGCAGATGAGGCACACCTAGAAGTGGTGCAGGCCCTAATACTGAGAAGGTTGATTTAAGTTTTTTTTTTTAAACCCTGTTAGGAGGCATATATAATTTTATATATATATGTATTCAATCATTTTTACAATTTTAATAAAATTATTTAATAATCATTAAAAACATAAATTAAAGAGTTTGTAAAAAATGTTGGAGAATTATGATTTTGTATTATCAAAAACTATTTATTGAAACTATAGTATATTGTTTGTAGCATTTAATTAATTACTTTTAAATAAAAAATAAAAAATGTCTTGTCACCACCCTTGTCTGACTTTAACCTCTTGATCTTCAAACCTGTCTCATTCTCCACCATGGCCTTCCACTTCTTGAAAACATCAAATACCTAGATTTGTGCTTCAAAAAATAAATCCATACCTTCCTCGTGTGGTCATCAATGAAAGTCACGAAGTAGGATTTTTCGCCAATGGATAAGACAGGGCTGGCCCCCAGACATCTGTGTGAATTAGCTCAAGTTTCTCCTTTATGAGATCTCTGCCACTCTTCTTGAAATTGACCCTCTTCTGCTTCCCCATTACGCAACTCTCACAGAAGTCAATATCAATTGCCCGTATACCTGGTAGTTTCCCCTTTGAGTGCATAATCTTGAGCCCCCTTTCACTCATGTGACCCAATCTTTGGTGCCAAAGGTTGTGATCTTCTCTGTTTTCTGCAATTGCTATAGACCCACAAGCACTGGTAGTTGTGTAGAGAGTGCCAGATTTCTTACCACGTGCAATGGTCATAGTGCCTCTGAAAACTTTCCATGAGTCTCCATTAAAGGCTGTAACAAAACCTTCCTCTGACAATTGTTCCACCGAAATTAGATTCTTTCTCAAGTCAGTGATGTGTCTCACATCCTTCAACTTCCAAGCTTATCCATTCAACTTGATTTGCACTTCACCCTTGCCAACGATGCTGCAAGGCTGATCATCACAAAGATACACCCTGCTAAGGTTACCCGGTTCATAGCTATTAAATATCTTTTTGCTTGAGGTGCCATGAAACGATGCGCCAGAATCTAAAACCCATGACTCTATCTTGCTCTCCAAAGAGCATATCAATCCATCATCTGATTCTTCTGAGACAACATATGCTTCAGTTTTTTTTTTTTCGATTCCTTTCTTTGAAAGTCTGCAATCAACACGGTAATGTCCCTTCTTCCCACAATTCCAACACTCAACATCACTGAGATCTGTGGAATTACTGAAATTTTGAGACTGTGTCCTTCCATTCCTTAACTTGGATCTGCCTCTATTTCTATTACCGTTGCCTTTATTCTTGTTTGAACCCTTGCCTCTGCTTTCAACATTCAATGCCGAACCACTGGTGGAAACCTCTGTTGTTTGCCTTCTGATTTCTTCAATTAGAATCATGTTCACAACTTCATCAAACTTCAACGTGGTCTTCCCTACAGAGCTACTGATCGCTATACTGTGCCATTCCAACTCTCGGGTAACTGTCTTAGAATTAACAGTGCTCGAACCTCATCTTTGAAGTCGATATCAATAGACTCTAATTGTCCAACTATTTCATTTAATGCATTTAGATATTCGTTGAACTTACCACCTTCGACCATCTTCATATTGAACAACTTCTTTATCAAGTGCACCTTATTTGCTGCAAAAAGCTGTTCATACATACAAGAAAGGGCTGTCATGAGAGACATCATCGTCTTCTCATTCTTAATGTTGAAGGTGACTGACTTTGACAATGTCAATCTAACGGTGCCAAGAGCCTTCTTATCAAGTAATTCCCAATCCGCATCATTTATATCCATTGGCTTCTCTCCCAAAGGCTGATACAGATTTTTCTGAAACAAGAGATCTTCTATTTGCATCTTCTAAAAACCGAAGTTTGTGCCATCGAACTTCTCGATCATATATGTGGATGTCTTAGCTTCTGATGCCATTACTCCCACTCGAACAGATAGATCTGATCGAAAGACTTTCAGAATTTTGTTAAACACTGGGTTCTCAACCAAAGGCTCTAATACCAGTTATTAGAGTTGTACTGCACAATCAACCGGATTTGATACCAGTTGTTATGACAGAAACGCAAAATAAACATGTAATGTTACCGATTTTCTCTTTTTTCTATTCTCGGGAATTTATGTGATTTTTCTGGATTATTTTAATCCTCACCTCGTTTTGCGTGCCACCGCGGGCCCTGAGGGGCGTTTTGGTCATTTTTTTGAGTCAAGGGTTTTAGAAGTATATTTTTAATCATTTTAAGTCAATTAGAAGTGACAATATCATTTTTAAAATTTTTCCAAAGTTGGGACGATTTCCAGACTTGGGAACTTCTCCCGGTTCTCTCATCTTAAGTGAGGGGCGTCATTGGCATTTCATATGTGTGTGTGTGTGTATGTGTGTGTGTGTGTATATATGTATTCATTGAGAAGATATTTTGGGGATAGACATGTTATTACAATGGAAGACCAAGGGCAAGGAGGTAACTTTGCCCAAATTTAGTAGTCCATAAGAATTGGACACATGGTACACTTAGAACTATGGAATTATTGCAAAGAAATCAATCCCATTCCTCTTCCTCTTCATTTGGCCTAAGATCCCTTTCTCTTTTTTTAGTTTTCTTCATCCTCTCTCTATAAATCAATACATCTATATACACCTATCTTTCTATTGTTTCAAGCATTGATTTGAGGTGTTTAGAGTGAGGTTTTGGAGGTGACCAAGAAGGGAAGTTGGAGAGCTTGGAAAGATCTTCCATTTAGCACCCATATTGCTAGGGTTTTGAAGGATTTCAAAATTTTGGGAAGCTTAGGGCTTGTTTGGATTGCTCCATTGAGGTAGGGGAAGTCTAAATTACGAATTTCCTATGATTTTAGTAAGTTCTATGAATTTTTTTATATGATTATTTTGATGTTATAAATCATGTTTAGTTTATAAATTTTGGTTGTGATATTAAGTATGAGATGGTATTGAATTAATTGTTATGGGTTGAGAATATGATGATTTCTTGTATTTGTATCAAGCATGCAAATTTTTCTATGAGAAAATGTGAAAATATGATTTATGTGATCAATCTTTATGCTTTGATGTTTTAATGTAACTATGATATAAATCATGACTTGTATGTTGATGAATGGTAGAATGATATACATATTCTTGGTATGGGGTGAGTCGAGAAGGTCAAGAAGTGATGTAATGATTTATGTTGTAAGTTAAGGTGGAGTTTATGAAGGTGTTAGTGAGATTGGGTTGTAAAGGAAGAAGGGGGCAATTGCATTTTCATGTGTGGTGGAATGGTTTATGAATTTGTGAAATTCGTGTATGATTGATATGCTTCATAATCCCATGATTCCTTTTCTTTGATTCCCTTTCTTTGGTTATGACTCACGGGATTTTTAAAAATATGATTTAGGCTTTTTCTACTGAGCTGTTGAGCTCACCCCATCATTATTAACATTTTTTAGGAAATCTGGAGATGAGTAGGTAAATGTTATGCATCCATGGACATTGGTGTAGTTAGGAATTTATTTCATTTTATTCATATTAAAGCTATGTAAATTTTGGCCATGGAGGCCTCTTTACTTGTATTTAATCCTTTTGAAATTGTATAAAATGAGATTTGTATAATTCGGCATTTAAACGATGTATTGGACTTGTATTCAATTCAATTGAAGGCACGGGAGTTTAATTATGTTTCATATACTGTCAATTGCATGCATTGAGATAGGCTTAGACTTTAAATAAAGTCATCAATGGACCAAGGGAGTACCTATATACACAAATGCTTAGTTTTAGGATTTTCTGGGCTATTTTTAGGTTTCTGGACTTCGGGAAAGGGTGTTTTTGGTTTGCATGGTGACTTTCTGTCCATGTAGAACCAATACCAAGATTTGGGAACCAGTTCCAGCCCTCCAGTGTATATTTTTGCCTTGACAATGTATCAACTTTGACCGTCTGACTTTGTTTGGCCATAACTTCTTCGTTCCAAATCCGAATATGGTCATTCTTGAGCCCATTTTTAAGGATTTTAAGTTAGATTTCCAATGAGATTAACCTCATCCTCAAATTCCATTTATGTTGAGAGTTATTGCTGTTTTAGTGAAATAGTGTCGGGATTTCCCTTGAACCGTGTAAAGGCGCTTTTGGGAAATCACATCCAATGACCATAGAACCTTCAAAAGTCATGAAATGACTCGAATGATTGTTTTAAACTTTATTTGACTAGTTTGAAGGCATAATACCCTCTCATATTATAAAGTGACCATTTCACCCCTAGAGTATTCTCGGGTTCGGGTAAGGACCCGGTTAGCGATTCGGACCCCCGGGTTCGGGTCGTTACAAACTTAGTATCAGAGCATTAGGTTCGAAAACCTAAGGACAACGAGCAGGGTTAAACCAGGTTAAGTTAGAATTGAGTTTGACGTAATTGCATACTTAGGTTGTTGTTTGTTTAGTTCGAAAAGCATGATCAGTTGCTATGTGTTTGCTTACGAGTTAATTTTATAATTTATGAACTCACGAATTAAATAAAGCATGTTAAATGATAATGTGTTATTGTTATTAAGTTTATTATTTAGTAAATGTGAAAGCATGTTTATTTGCTAAATGTTTATGTGCAGTTAATTATATGATTAAGTTACCTAATACATGCTTGAATTATTACATGTTTAATTGTTAACCGTTTACTATTGATGTAAGCATACTTAGTTGATTACATGCTTAATTGTTAAATGCTTATTTTTTTTTTAAAGCATGTTATACAAGTTTTTATTGTAAGTAATTGAGCACGAGTTATGTAAAGCACAAATTATAAAATGTGACAGCTTTTATTTTAGCACAATAGCTATGATCCTGCTTTGGGAAGTAGTTGTACGTTTAGGTTTATGTTGTGGTTGTTCATCCACTAAGGAGTGGATGTTTGTGTGACTAGTTTGTTTCGTTGTTGATGAGTTTGAGGTTTCGAGGTAGTGTTGTGTGTTGGGTTACGGTGGTTTCTGGCCTATGTGTGTGAGGAACTTGATCATTCTTATGCTTGGACATGTTTTAGTTCTTATCGAACGGATAGTGTGATCACCGTTACTCGTGGATTGAGCTATTTTATGTATTCTTATATTAATCGTGTAGTTACTTTTATAGAACCGTGTTTGAGGGCAACGTAGGGAGATGGATCCAGATGAAGTTGGTGAGCGAACAGGTGAAGGGCCATCCCAGCCGGATAGGGTTTTAATGGGATAAGGCCGAGATAGTGAAGCGGATGAAAATCCACAAGTACCGGAAGACGATGTTTCATTAGCAAGGGCTGTAGCCTTAGCCTTTTAGAATTTAGCGAGTACCATAGCTCCTCAAGTGGTACCTCAACCGACTATTCAGCCACAGGAGACAAAGATGGAACGGAACCTTAGGTACCTGTTCCAGTTTAACAAACTCATAAAAGTAGTATTTAAGGGAGGTCCAGATCCGTTGGTAGTGGACGATTGGTTAGATGAAGTTGAAAAGCATTTCAGGGCAATAAACGTACCCGATGATCGGTTGAAGATCACTTTAGCTACGTATAAGTTCATTAGCAATGCGGCAGCATGGTGGAAATCCATGACTAGCGCACATGATATTGACAGTATGAGTTGGGATACATTTAAGAATATTTTCTTTGATAAGTATTTCCCACAGACCAAGAGACGGAAATTGAGGACGCAGTTTGACAGGCTTGAACAAGGTGACATGTCAGTGACAGAGAGTATGAGAACAAGTTCACTTCTCTTTCATGTTTCGCTACA